TAAGACATAACATTTTATTTGGTCTAAAATATAAGTGGGTTTTAGGAAAAAATTGTATATTAATAAAGTTCATTCTCATAAACATATAAAATTGTTTTCCCTTTTTATTCTTAATGCCAGTTATCAATATACTTCATGATAAGTATTAGCTAACTTTATACAAGATCTAGGTTAATACATATGAAGAAAAAATTTAAAATTATTTTTTTATATATATTAAATTACTTATATTTTGAATTGAAAAAAGTGTGATGAAGTGTGCATGTGATAGATGAGCCTACGGTCAGGAAAGATGTTTTTTAAGCTGCAGAAAAAGTTATAGGCGTGTTTCAAATTAAGTAGGTTTCTTTGAAATGTTAGAGAATAGATAATCTTTTAATTTTAATATTTTTGGCCAAAATTTTAATTTTAATACTAATAATAATAACTAGTATTAGTTAAATGCTTTTAAAAATTAACATTTAAAATATTATTAACACCCCAATCCCCCTTTTCTTTGTATATTTGGCAACTAAAATACGTTTCTATTTTCAATCATATTTTTCTTGTATTTAAGTTCTTTGGAATTTTTATTCATTTTATTAATATTTTGAGGGTTAATGTATTTTTTATTTAAATATTTTTACAATCAAATAAAAATATCTCTATATGGTTTAATTAAATTTTATTATTTTAATAATAACTAGTTAGATCCTAATCTAACCCACAGTTAAATCGGATTTGGATTCAATGTCTATCGCTAGTGCATACACTAAGTACCTATCTCATCTGAGACATTTAAATCTAAATTGACAGTTTAAATAAACCCACACATTCAATAATTTCAAGTGGAGTATGAATTTAAATTTATTAATATGGATTTCAACGGCTCAGATGGAATAGGTACTCAACAGGCATTGAATTGAAATCCTGATTGAACCACTGACTCTTAAAGCGTTACCTTAATCGATTCAATGATTGATTTAATTTTCAGTGCCTTGATTAAATTAGAATTGTTCATTCTAGATCTAATTGTCCAAATTTTCCAAGAAAGTAGACGTAGAGTGCAGTGAAGAAAGAAGATAAGGAAAAGATATACAAAGTTGTTGGCATTCTTATTTACAAGACTGTTTTCAAAGTCTGGATAGTAATTAATACATTTTTTAAAAAAATGTCCCCTTAAAAAGTGCCTTTAATTAATTGTTAGATAGTATTTAGTTATGAAAGGTATTTGAGAACACATGAGAGAGTTTTAAAAAATAAAAGTAAAATGTTTTTCTTAAAAAAGCCAAGAAAGTAGACGTAGAGTGCAGTGAAGAAAGAAGATAAGGAAAAGATATACAAAGTTGTTGGCATTCTTATTTACAAGACTGTTTTCAAAGTCTGGATAGTAATTAATACATTTTTTAAAAAAATGTCCCCTTAAAAAGTGCCTTTAATTAATTGTTAGATAGTATTTAGTTATGAAAGGTATTTGAGAACACATGAGAGAGTTTTAAAAAATAAAAGTAAAATGTTTTTCTTAAAAAAGGGGACGGAAAGAATATAAAGTGGTATTTAACTAGTTGATCGGTATCCAAAATGTATAAAACGGAACGGGAAAACATTCTGAGAATTAATCTGATGAATATCCCATCCCCAAAAAAAAAAAGAGGAAAAATAAAAAAGTCGATGAATATATGATGAAAACGATGGCCCTTGCAGATAGCAAGAGATTTCATTAGAGCCAGTAATTCGGACAGACCGATCTTATTTGAGTCGGATTCAATTCAAGCTGGACTTATTTGGATCGGACTTAAAATATCCTACTCCTTCTAAAAAGGCCATATAACCAAGTCCGGCCCTAACACCTTTGGGCTTCGGGCTTATTTGGGTTGGCCCGAATAACCAAAACTTTTTAAAAATATTTTTTTTTATTTTTTTAACTAATTTTAATTTTTAAATAATTCTATTAAGCATAAAATATTATTTTAATTTTTAAACAATAAAATAAAGAATAACTTATCAACTTTATATTTAAGCAGCTCTATTATTATTTCGTTGTATTATGTATAATTTATTCATGAATGTTTCATTTACTTGTAAATTAATGTCTTAATTGTTTAAATATTGCTCTTATTATAGTCATATATAAATATTTTATATATTTTAATTAAATTATATTACTTTAATTATGATTAAGCTGATCTCAATTCAATCACAGTTAGACTACTAACTTAAAATTATTATCCTGATTAGTTCAAAGTTTTTAATAACTTTTAGGTAAATTGTACTTTTTATTTTTATAAATATAAAAAAAATTACCATCATTATATTATATAAAAAATTATTTAAATATGAGTAAAATATTTTTTTAAAATCATTTTTTTAACTTTTTATATTATTTAACTCTTACATAAAAGGATTCTTACTCTAATTTACTCTTAATTTTAATCAAATCTAACATGGATAATAATTAAGTAATTACCCAAGAATATTATTTTATTTATTATGTTTATCTAATAGTAGAGTCAGGAATTCGTACATGCCTAAATTTTATGTTTAAAATTATTTTTAATTTTATTTTTACTTTAAAATTAATTATCTTAATTTATAAAAAACATAAAATTATTTTTTTATATGTAAATGATTTATAGGACTCAAAATTTTTTTTAACAAAAACTGGGTCTTAAAATATTAAAATCAATATTAAAATATATTTTAAATATTATTTTGAGATATGTTATTAATTAAAAATAATAAAAATATGAAATATAACTATTTTTAATTTTTTTAAAAAAAATAACTACATTAAAACACTTATATATATAGTATTTTGGTATAAAATAATATAAAACTTAAAAAATTAATTAATATTTATCCTATTTTATATATTTTTTTAAAAAGTTATTTTTTTTTTATTTAGGTATTTAGACCAAGGTCGAACCCAATCGGGCTTGGTCTGAATTTTTTTGGACCTGTTTGGGCTGCTCTAATAAGTTCAAATAATAAAAAAGTAATATTTTTTTAAGCTTTGCCTTAAATTTTTTAAATGGTTCGAATTGATTCATCGGATTTAGCTTAAATTATCAGCTTTAGATTGGAACAGTGTTAAAGCATTCCCTCAATTATTCATCCTGACGTGTAAAAATATCTCCAGACTTGTGGTTGGGAGTGGGGTGGTACTTTTTTAATCTTATTAGCCACGTGTATGTTTTCATTCGATGCGCTTCTCGTTCGAAATATGAAAATATCACACAATGCCAATGGGTCATCACCGATAGGGGTGTTCACAAGACGGAACGGGACTGGGACACCCCTGTCCCGTGTCCCGTCCCGAAAAAAAGATCGGGACTGAATTTTGGTCCCGTGTCCCGTCCCGTCCCGAAAGTCGTCCCGTCCCGTTAAGAGTTGGGACGGGACCGGGACAAGATCGGGACGTCCCGCCGTCCCGATAAATAGAATAATATTGAAAAAAGATTTGGATAATAACGTTCATTAAAATTTTAAATCATATAATTTATTAAGTTTAAAATCAAAACAACACAAGCACATAAATAACAATAATTTAAAATCAATTATTGAATTATATTAATCATAACTACATATTATAATAACAAATGTAAGTGATCTTTATGCTATAAGATTCACAACAACAGGCAAGTCAAACACAACATCAAATCATTATTCTTCTACTTTAGTGAAGATGTACTAAGCTAATTACTCTTCTAAAAATAAGCAAGAAATATGTTATAAATAAAGGTTATTAAATAGATAGATATAAGAATAAATTATATTAATATAATTAATATCTTATAAAGAAAGATATCGCCATATTTACTCCATGCCATTAAAATTATCAATATAAAAAAACTTTAGTTTTAAATAAGAATTGCAAGTATTAAAATTATAATTGATATAATTAATATAAGTATAAATTATATTAATATAATTAATATATTTAAAATAAACAATAATATATATAATATTCGGGACGGGACGGGACGTCCCGATGCTAATCCCGTGTCCCGTCCCGTCCCGAACCCCTTTCCTGTCCCGTCCCGTAAAGTCCCGTCCCGATTATTTTCGGGCCGGGACAAGACCCGTCCCAATATGATCGGGACGATACCGGGCCAATCGGGACGGGTCTAGGTTGAACACCTCTAATCACCGATACAACAGGCCAGGAAATAGCCACGTACCGTCACCAACTCCGCACGGTGTAATGACATGACTGCACAGCCGGCTTGGCGGCAGAATAGCCACGCCGCAACGCACACCGAAAGAAGTCGGACGGAAGAAAACAAGGCGAGAATTTTTATATGGGATAATGATAGTTAAGTTTTAAGGAAATGAGCTAATGATAGTTAGATTTTTTAATAATTTTTTTTATACAATAAATTATAAATATTAATTTAAATAGTTATAAATAAATTTTTTTTATTACAATCTAAAAATTATATTTAATATTTAAATATTTATTTAGCATTAAAACTCTTATATTTATAATAATCTGAGCCGATATTTTCAATTTATTTTTTTAAAAAAATTGTCCAGGATTAAACTGGTATTAATTCAGTATTGTGAAACTTAACTGTCATTCTCCTTTGTTATATCTCCATCAAGGTGATTAATTAGAAAAATGAAGTTGTCAATCAAAGTTAAAAGTAATTAATTATATTAAGTAAAATTTATATATAATTCTGTCAAAAAAAAAATCTTCTCATCATTGTCGTCCAAAATATAATTCCTGTTGTGTTCTTTGTAAATCTCATGGTGGAAATTTTCTGTAAGGCTAATCACTCTCTCCCATTCTCGACCATGCAAACTTCCCATCACAAAACCCACCCGACTGACGGCAATGAAGTTGGTGTGTATGGTGGCCAAAATCACGTTTTAAACAAGATCTTTCAAAACAGTACAAATGGTTTCTCTTGAATATAATAATGGTTGATGTGTATGTGATCAAATACCTGTTGATGATGTTTATAAAATGCCTTTCTCAACCATGCAAACTTCCCATCCAAACCCCAACAGCTGTTGGCAATGAAGTTGACTTCATCATCATGGCTAGCAATCTTTATCCCCTTCCTCACCTTCCTCCTCTTCTTTCGCCGTTTTCGCCGCCACCGATATAACCTACCACCGGGGCCAAAACCATGGCCTATCATAGGAAACCTCAACCTCATAGGCCCTATTCCTCACCACTCCTTCTATGAGCTCACCCAAAAATATGGACCCATCATGCATCTCAAGTTAGGCTTCAAAGACATCATCATCGTGTCCTCTGCTAACATGGCTAAAGCCTTCCTTAAAACCCACAATCATAACTTCTCGTCACGACCAAAAACTACCGCCGGAGAGCACGTGGCCTACAATTACTCCGATATTCTCTGGGCCCCCTATGGCCCTTACTGGCGCCAAGCCCGCAAGATATGCTTTACAAAAATGTTCTCTCAAAAAAGCCTACAATCGAGCGGGTATATCAGAAAGGAAGAGATGAAAAGTATGTTGAATGAACTTTTCATTTCTTCAGGCACCACCGTATTATTGAGAGATTACTTTTACACTTTAACCCTAAATATTATAAGTCGCATGGTGTTGGGAAAGAAGTACGTGGAGAAAGGTCAAGGTGGCTTTGTTAGCTGGGAAGAGTTCAGAGAATTGTTGGACGAGTTTGTGCTGCTCAATACGGGAGTTGCAAATATTGGGGATCTGTTCCCTTGGATTAATTCCTTGGACTTGCAAGGTTACATGAAGAGAATGAAGGATTTCAATGCTAAGTTTGATAGGTTTCTGGAGTATGTGTTAGATGACCATGAAGAGAAAAGAAAAGGGGTTGAGGATTATGCGGCCACAAACATGGTGAATGTGCTTTTACAGCTCGTTGATGATCCCACTCTTGAGATTAAGCTTCAAAGGCACAATGTCAAAGCATTAACTCAGGTGCATGTGTGGTACAATTTTGACACAATAGGAATATATATATATATATATAGGCAAACAATAATCAACTACTCCCTTCATCCCAAATTATAGAGCACTTTTAAAGGAATTTCTTCATTCCAAAATATAAGATGCTTTGAGTAGATTAAAGTTTCATTAAATGCACTAATTTCAATATTACCCTTTCTCTTTCTCTAATTAATTTCCATCACTTCTCTTTTGAATATATTAAATGATGGGTATTTTGAAAAGTTTATATTTTTGTTTTAAAAAGATAAAGTTGTTAAGTGTATTTAATGAGGTTTATTGATATATAAAATTTTATTTAAAAGTGTCTTATAATTTGGAATGGCGGAAGTAATAGATATTTAGTGAATTATTACGAAAGACTAATTTACGTACTCATAACATATTAGTTAATAACATGTTTTGTATGCTTGTATGTATGTTTCTTAGGACCTTGTAATAGCTGCCATAGATACCACAGCAATAACTATTGAATGGGCAATGTCTGAGCTGTTGAAAAACCCAAAAATCTTAAGGAAGTCTACAGAAGAGTTGGACAAAGTGATCGGAAGAGATAGGTGGGTGGAAGAGACGGACTTAGTCAACTTGCCTTATATTGAAGCCATTGTTAAAGAAACATTGAGATTGCACCCTGTAGCCTCTGTGTTGCCTCCAAAAATAGCCATGAATGGTGACATTGAAATTGCAGGGTATGACATCCCAAAAGGAACTCAAGTGATTGTCAATGTGTGGGCTATTGGTAGAGACCCTATGATGTGGGACAACCCTAATGAGTTTTACCCAGAAAGGTTCATAGGTAAAGATATTGATGTGACAGGACATCACTTTGGGTTATTGCCATTTGGGGCTGGAAGGAGGATCTGCCCTGGTTATCCTCTTGCTCTAAGGGTTGTGAATTCAAGTATAGGAAATTTGGTGCATGGGTTTTCTTGGAGCTTGCCGGATCACATGAAGGAAGTAGACTTAAACATGGAGGAAATTTGCAGGCTTACTACCCTCAGAAAACAACCCCTTGAAGCTGTTGTTAAGCCTAGGCTTTCATCTCATGATCTTTACTGATGTTACATGTGGTGGTCCATTTGATTTGAGCACTATCATTTAGCTTCTTGTTATTTGTATTGCTGTTATTTATATTGCTATTAACTACTTGTATTATAAAAATATGTGGTCAGATGAATAAAAAGTTGTTACTTAATATATTTCCAGGTGAAATAGTGATGATATTTGGATAATATATTTTTCTAGAAAAAATTGATTAACAGAGAGTGATAATGTTTGGATAATATTTTTTAAAATTGATTTTGCAAAATCAATTTATCATATGAAGGAAAAATAGCTCTATAGCAAAATAGAGTTTCAGAACCAAATAGAATTTAAGAAAATTAAAAGCATTTGTAGGTATATTGAATCAATGTCTGGGTCAAGAAGGAACCTACTCTTCACTGGAGTTGGCTTGCCTCTACTAAGGGAAGCCCTTCTCCGCACCTCCCATATTTAATATTTTTTTATTTTAAATTTATTAAAATAAAAAATTATAAAGATCATAAAAAATTTTAATAAATCTGCACACTAGCCTAGATGATCAAGATTTAATATGTATGGTCAAGTAAATTTTTTATTTTAATAAACATAAAATAAAAATAAAAAATATTAATTTTAAGCAGTCTAGATTTACACTCCTGCTCATAGCAGGTGCGGAGGAGGGGAGTTGCCAACTCCCTCTTGGCTGCCCCATTCATCAACTTCATGCTTTCTATTACCCAAAGCATTAAATTTGATTGAATTTAATTTTTTATTGTTGATAAATCATATATGGCCAGTTAATTTAATTGAGGTAAACATTAGATATGCATTGGAAATAAGGTGGAAGTAGATTATTTCCGATACATCTCTCCTCTTGTTACCTCAATATTCTCCCAACAATTTGCTCATGTATCATAGAACCTGTTTGGATATATATACTCAAAATAATCATGAGTCCAAAACCAAGATTTTGAAAAAGAGTATCCAAATACCCTCAATCTTTCTAAACTTCATCTGTCTTCCAAAATTCCATTTGGAGGAAGTGACAATAAACCCCATTTAAAAATCAATTATAAGTTTTATGAATTGTTGGAATGTTCTTTTTATAATTTTATCCTCCATTTTACTTATCAATATTTACGTTATAAAAAAAGAATATCCTTTATTGTAATTTGAAAAATTTAAAATAATTTTAAAAAATTGGCTGGACAAAAATGCCTCTTCTAGGTTTCAGGGTAATTGGCTGGCCACTGTAAAGTAGTTGCCAGCAAGATGTTTAATTGCCAAAAGCAGGATGTTTGTGGCTTTGGCCTTTTAACAAGAAGTTGATGCTCATTTTCCGGCGGTTAGCCAGTCGTCAACGTTGGGCTTTTACTAGGGTCAATTTCGTCCCCCCAACTTTTCGTAAAAAAATGGTTAAGGACTTTGGTCCTTTTTTGGTATTTCAAAAATTTGTTGTCTCTAATTATAATTAATGTCATTGTGTAGTCTATGAATGTCACTTTCCTAATGGAAAAGGGGCCGAAAAATAAACAGTGGCTAAACAACTTTTGTATGATGGTACCTCAACGCGGGGGTTGAATGCACTTTCTGCTTTCGCGGCTTGTAAGGCGAAGTGTCAGAGCTTTCACCCAATCCACTTGCATCGCCTTTAAAATAGGGATAATTAGATTAAAAAATCTCTTAAAAAATTTATTTACAGAAAAAAATAAACAACAAATCTCATTTGTTTAAAAAGAATTATGTTTTCATTTAAACAATAATCTATTTTGTATTAATAATGATTCATAAATAATTTTTTTGAGTGATCATTAAATATGATTCTTCCTTTAAAGTATCTCATGATACCTTTACAATTTTTTCCTTAGGTACACAAATATTTTTTTTTGATCACTTTCAGTGGATTAAGCCCAATATAAGTGTATAAAAATTTATTAATATAATCAAAAAAAGTCTTAGTCTCTATCTCTTGAGTGTGATTTTTCCCTGACGCTTGAATAAAAGAGGGAACAGTTGTGTCAACCGCATAGCACACAGTTACCCGCTCCTCATATTGTGTGTGAATGTGAAAGTTATATGAAAGATATGAGAACCGTCTTCTCATTCTTAGATGCGTGTGTTTAGTGTGACTCTACTTTCCTTCCCTTACTCTCTGAGTGTTTGCGCATTTGCTATTAACTTGAACCGAGTTTCTCTCGTGACTCCACTTCCATGTAGTAGTAATAACTCATTTGGTGCAACTCACAAGGGATGTTTCTGCTTCCATCTACTCACATTTTTATTGAAGATATCACTGTTTAACATAATTGAGTGTTCAATGAGGTAACATTACTGTAATTAAAATACATACAAATATATTTATTTGACTATGAAAAAAAAATATTTACATAAAAAACACTAATCCTAAAAATATTTTGCAATAATAATGTTTTGAATGTTAATTAATAATTGAAAAGCTTGTGAGTCTGTGACTCACGCTAGTTATTATTAATATTAATATTGAAAATGGAAAGTGAAAACGCAAGTACTAATAAAAGTAAAGAAGGCCTATACAGTGAATAAAAGCAAGGCATGACTGTTCAGTGAAAAAATTGAAGTTTGAAATTTCACACCCTCTTCCTCTTTGTCCACGCGTTTGGTTTCTGTTTTCCTCTCAAGTGGTCCCATTCTCTTGCTCTCTCTTTTCAAGGTGCTGTATTTCATACAGCACTTTGTGTTTGGATAGAATAAAAATAACCGATTTTTTTGATAAAATAATTGATTTTAATAAAAAATATACAAACAGCTCAAAATAGCACTAATTGATTATTATGGTTGGAATCATGTTTGTTAATAAGCTTTAGGAGGGAGCTTTTTCTCAGATCAATTTTACCGTTATAATATTAATTATCTGTCAAATACTCACCTACCCATATTACCCTCAGCAGTATTACACGTGATTCTCCATATTCCTCTCGTCTTAGGAGACTCTCTTTGATCTTCTTCTTGTGCCACCTAATCGCCATCATCCTCCCACCCGCCCACATGGTCACCGGCCGCCGTCTGTAGGCATTTTACTCCTAATAATACAAGAGCACATGTACCTGATAAAATATTTAATTTCTGACCAAAATTTGAGCTATCTGAACTTAACAAAATTAATTTAAGTTTCAAATCAGTGTATTTAATCCTTGTGAAAACATAAAAAATTTTATACTCTTTTTTAAAACATTTTTTTCATATAAAACTATTAATTTACATTCAAGTTGCATTGAATCCATGGAAGAGAAACATGTCAAACATGTTTATTTATTCACAAGATTTGAGCTCAAAATCTTACCTAACAGGCATCGAGTCATATTGTTATGTTATGATTGAAAAATTATATATCAATTACTTTTTTTTATTGAAACTAATTATGAAAATATAAGAGCTGAGCTGTAACTAAATTTGATGAATGTTAAAGAAATGGGAATTGTCTGGACGGATGGACGAAGCTTTTGTTATAGGCCTACAAAGTCATGAACAACCTAAACTAATGAAACATGGATCCGAAGCCCACATCCCATTTACCCAAAACACCCATTAGCCCAACATGAGATATAGCACATGCTGATAGAAAGCCATGCACAGAGGAGAAGGATAAACGACATGTTCAAATAACACATTCCATTAAAATTGGGCCTTTTCCTAATTGGGAAGGGGAAGGCAGAGGGCAAATTAAAGTAGCACAAGTTGGAAAACAGAATCAAATTAAAGCACATTAGCAACAGATATAGTTTAATGAGCTTGGCAAATTTGGTGCATGGGTTTTATTGGAACTTGTCAGATCATATGAAAGAAGTGGACTTGATAATGGAGGAAACTTTTAGGTTTACTAGTGTCAGGAAACAACCACTTGAAGCTTTTATTAAGCCGAGACTCTCAGCTCGCCTTTATCTCTTGGCAGTGATATGCACTTCGTGTTTGCGCTGCGGGTGTGGCAATGCAAGGGCTATCTATAATTAATAAAATTGAAGTTTGTTTGAGTCGGGTGGTCCGTGTGATTTGATTATTGTCACTGAATTTCTTCTTGGTAGCATTATTCTTGTGTTGTAAAACCATTAATCTAATAACAAGTTATTATATATATATATATATATAACCAGGTAAAATGATATGATTCACTCAATATGATTAGTTTTGCTCACATTAATTTTGCCGTTTTTTCTGACAGTGGCTGGCCGGAGTTCCAGCAACTAGCAGTGGAGGGGTTAAACCTTTTTTTAGTGAAATAAGGGTATTTTAATAATTGCGTATGAAAATTTATTTACGAGTAAGTAACTTGAGAATAATTTATATGTCTTATAAAACTTTTAAGAAATTGGAATCTTTAAAAAGGATTTCACAATAATTCTCTCAATATCATATATATAAACAAGGAAGTAGGACAACAAAAATTAACCAATCCCCTCCCAATCTGCAAGAAGAACCATGTGTTGGCAAATGGTGGTCCACCATTTTTATTTGTGTTACTAGCTATAGGATGCCACATTATCATGAGCATAATTTGTTTTCTTTGAACTAATGACGTGATTGAGAGAGAGAAAGATATTAATATCTATTACAAGTTTTTTTTTTTTAAATGAGAAAGGCAAGCCTGAGGCTTGAAAAGATTACAAAAAGAGAACCTAGATAACCCTTAAACTATCCTCATGTAAAAATACATTACAATCAGCAGGAAAATCAGTAGTAATAGTTATCAAATCTGCCAACTCCATGACTATCTCCTACAATGAGAGCTGTACATTTAGCAAACTTCATACACATGATGAATGTTAACCTCCATAGTACCATATAAAATGTTGACCATGGAATTCATTTTTGCCCTCCAAGGATCACTCTTGGTTTTTGATTCCATGATTCCATCTAGTGGTCGAGGCTCAGGGAGAAGATGTTTTAAGGAAGGTGTGATAAAGATGGACGTATTAGAAGGCATCGACTGGGGCAGAGGCACAAGAACTCATTTATTTTGTCTGAGCTAAAGAGCCACTTACCACTCTAGGCCATAATTCTTTTGTCTTGCTTGACTTTTTTTTCTATGGATTTGAATCCATTTTCTAGTCCATTATTGGTTGAACTTGTGGGAGGAACTATGTCAATCAAGGCCGATG